AAAAAAAAAAAAAAAAAATGTGTCTCAGTGAATTTTTACATTGCATGGTAAAATATTTTACATAGAGTATATTGGGTTAAATAAAATATATTATCAAAACTAACTTCACCTGTTTCTTTGTCTTCCCGATGGGAGTACTAGAAATTGTAAAGTTTACAGATGTGGCTCACATCTGTGTCGCGCATTGTTAGGTTTCTGCTGGCAGCGCCACACTTAATGCTTTTTCTCTCGAGTGAAAGGAATGTTTGTCCATCTGGTTTTTTCTCCTGCTGTTTTGAGTTCCAAGAGGGTGGCCACTGTGTACCTCTCTCATCCTGACCTTTGTATACCTGGGTGGCACACGGCAGGCACTCACAGAGGTATACCAAGGGGATTAATAAATGAACAAACGACGGACGTTCAGTCAATACCAAAAGCTTCTGCAGGCAGTGTGATGTCTGGGTCTCTGTGATTAAACTTATTTGCCCTTTTTCACAGTTTCTGTCCTTTTTTTTTTTTAAGGGATCACACAATCAGCAAAAGAAGATACTTTTCGTGGGAGATAGACAGAAGCTGAAGGACTGGCACGACAAAGAGGCCATCAGAAGGGATGCTCAGCGTGTAGGTACGGAGAGCAGTGTCGGCACGGCAGGACCTGTGGAGGGGGCATGCATGTGTGCGTGCATGTGCGTGTGTGCGTGTGTGTACACACGCATGTGCGTGTGTGCGTGTGTGCACACATGCATGTGCATTTAATGGGGCGTCCAGACCCCCTGTTAACTCTTCTCCATCCACCACCCTCCCTTCCCCTGATTCTGGATCCCTCTCTTCACCTGTGAGCTGACCCCTTCCTTTCTCCACTCACATCACCAGATCCACTGCCTTCGGAAATTTGCCCTGCCACCTTTATTGAGCGATAGAAAGTATCTCCCCCGTATGAGATATTTTACTGCTAAAATGAGGAGCTGTAACAAGAGCCAACCTTTATGAATACCTGCAGTGAGCAAGGCTCATGCCTCACACTGCGCATTTTCTCAGTGAATACCCGGATCAACCTTTGTGGCCCCTTTGATGGAAGGGACCTGTAGTTCAGAGAGGTGGGGTAATCTGCCTACAGTCACACAGTGAGAAAGAAGCAGGCTTGGAACTTAAACTCAGGTCTGGAGGGTAGAGTTGATCCCTACCCTGCCCTACAGCCATGAGGCTGAATGAATTTAGTGGGCTTCAGCTAACGTTTTCTTTGGCTAATTAGTCTTTAGAGCATTTTCTGTTACAGCTGGGGAGCTGGGGAGTGAAATTATGTGGAGAGTCATTTGTAGGGAGCCCGGACCAGGAGTCAGGAGAACAGCTCTGACACCCCTTATAAGCCATGCTACCATCAGAAAAATTCCATAATCCTTGAGCCTCAGTTTCCCCATCTGTCAGTGGGGCTCATGCGTCCTGCTTTGCCAACCTCAGTGTGTTGGTATGAAGTAGCTTTACACTGGAAAGCACTGTAGAAATACAAGGGATTGGTATTTTATTCATTTTTATCCCAGTTAAAGGCACCCACTATTGATTTTTTTTTAAATGACATTATGACAAAACCAGATTGCAACAGGGCTTTGAATAGAGCTGAAATGATAACTTAACTGAAGTTCAGGGAAATCTAAAGGCACGACATGCATTTTTCCGTATGCCAGTAATTTAAAATGAAGGAGTGGGGGTAGGGGAGGGCTGCCTAAATTAAAAAAGGAAGCATTTGTAAAGAGCTGATTTGCCAGATGGTTATATCAGAATTATTAGAATAATTCTAATTATTCTAATTATTATTCTAATTCTAATTATTACAACACTGGCCCAACTAGCAAGAAAGGAGTAAGCAGTGGAGAAATTACTCAGCATCAGAAAGACCAGTGCTAACTACGTCCCAGGCACCTTGCCCTGCATTACCTCCTTAATCACCACACCAAACCTTAACCCAGTTGATACAAAGGTGAAACCCAAGACATAGGCTAAGGACACGCCCAAGATGACAGAGCTGGGAGTAGCAGGGCTGCACCACAAATTCCACTCTGCCTGGCTCCAGGGCCTGAATCTGCATCCCTCCCCGCCCTGCCTTCCTGAGCCTTCCCTCCCTGAGAGCTGCTTCTGCTGCATGTGTCCCTTGTGTAGTCTGTCCCGGGCACTAGCCAACAGCGTTTTACATGGAGCGTTATACAGACAGGGAGTCCTCTCCCCCATCTGGCTGGACTGGAGTAGCCGCAGCCCTTCTTGGGCTCCAGCTCTCAGCTTGCACCTTCCCATCAAGCTGGTGTTGTCAGAATCTACTTTACAAACTGAACGGGGTGATGCTCAGAGCACAGGCTCTAGAAGATGAGGTGATTTCTGACCATTCGATCTTATTTGCCATTCTTTCTGGACCCTCACCAATGGCAGGTTCTTGGGCTGTCCTTGCGGGGCTTGTTGTGCACCCGGGAACCCAGAGAATAATTTCCTGGAGCACCGGGAACTCTTTCCCCAGCTGGATTGTGCAGAGAAAAGAAAGAATAGCACTTTATCCAATCAAATATATGACTCAAAGCAACACTTTCCGGGCAGTCCTGGCCAAGGCCAGGCAGGCTTTGTTTGCTGGCTCTTAAAAAACAAAGCATCTTTTATCATTTGTGGCACTTCTGATCTACATATAAAGTTTACCCTGCCTGGAAAATAATCATAACATCTCCTCACATTTATATAGCGGTTTGTAGTTTACAGAACGCTCTCATCTACACAGCATCTCATTTGACTCTCTCAACATGCTGTGGGTACCAGAGGGGAACCAGCAATAGTTCAGAGAGGCGATGTGACTGCCCAGGGTTGATCAGCTTGTATGTGGGGGACCTGGTCTCCCTTCCAGGTGATTAGACCTTCCAGTCGGGTGTTCGGGGCTCCTGGCAGAGTGGAGGGAGCATGAGCTTTGGAACCCACAGACCTGGTTTTATACCCTTTCTGAGGCCTCGATTATCCATCTATAGGCAGAGGCTCTCGTGTCCACCCTGCACGCTTGCTGTGACTGCATGAGGACAAGTTGTGTGAAGCGAGTGACTCGGCTGGGACCAGATGCTCATTCCCTCCCCCCTGTCCACGTCCCCCTGCAAATCTGGACGCACAGTCTGTCGAGCAGAAGGCTTTGCCTTTGCGGCTGACCCATGCTTTTCATTTCTCTCACCCCGCTCCGTTCAAGCAGCGGCGCTGACTTTGCTCTTTGCCCCCAGGAAATGGAGAACAGGGGCGACCTTACCCCGTGACCGACGCCGAGCGAGTGGATCAGGCGTACCGAGAAAACGGATTTAACATCTACGTCAGCGACAAGATCTCCCTGAACCGCTCTCTCCCTGACATTCGGCACCCAAAGTAAGTGCAACACCCCTCATCCTCTGGGCCCTAAGGAGCTTGCCCTTGGCTCCCATTGAGAATTAAAGAGACAGATACATGCAGGGCCGCTGGAGGAGAGCCCCCCCTGTTAGACAGGGCCTTTGTGCAGAGGTTCATGCGATCAGATGCTTCCAGAACATGGAGCTGGTGGAGCAGAATGACGATGGTGGCGGGCAACGGTGACGCCTCCCTGCAGAGCCAGTCACCTCGCTGTGTTCAGACCGTGGGAACATGGAACCTCTGCCTTTCCTTCATGCTCTGGCCCACGGGGAAGCTCAGACCTCAACTCAGACGACCTCAAATGGCAGGGACAGTTTCAACCCTCACTCTCCACTTTTTATGTGTGGGATTTCTATTTTTTTTTTAACCTTTATTTTAGCTATCCTGTGTACCTGGATATTTATGTCTTTATTATAAGCTGTCTCAAGTCATTGGAGAGAGGACATATTGGAACGATTATAAAGATAACTGTGGCAGCTGACATCCTTTGAACAGGTAGCGTGTGCCGGATACTTTGTTTGCATCATCTCAGGTTCCTGTGAAGTGGTCCCTAAGTGATGCCCATTTTACAGATGAGGAAACCGAGGGTTAAAGTCATAACGCATATAAGGTCACAAGGTGAATAAGGATCTGAGCCAGGTATCAGGCTCCAGTTCAACCAAAACCTAGACTCTGGACCGGAAGCCATCCGCCTCCTGGGCATTTTCAGTAGGGCTACTGTGGTGGTCATGTGATTTTCTAGCGGTGCTGTCCTTCTTAAAGCTAATGTGCATTACAATCATCCCAAGAGCTGTTGGGACACAGGATATTGAGCTTCACCCCCATAATTCCTGATTCAGTAGGTTTGGGTTGAGGCAGAAGAGCTGGCGTTACAAATAAGTGGCCCTGGGATGCTCATGCGGTTTGTCTTGGTCCACACCGTGGGAACCACTGCAAGTAGATTTCACAGCGGCTTCCACAGGAAGACAGTACTCAGCACTGAAGCAGAAGTGTTCTGTTCAAGGACTAAAAAGTACAGCCCAGGAAAAGATAATAGCGGCTCACACTTATTAGGTGCTTACTGTATGCCAGGTCTCATTCTAAGCCAGTGGTTCTCAAAGTGTGGTTCCCAAACCAGTGACACCAGCATCACCTAGGAGCTTTCTACATGCAGATTCTCAAATCCTAGCCCAGATCTACTGAATCCAAAGCTCTGGGGTGGGGCCCGGCACTCTGTGTTTTATGATTCTGATGCACACTTAAGTTTTAGAACTGATGTTCTGAGCCCTTTAAGTGCATTAACTCAGCCAAACTTTCCAGAAACTCAATGAAGTAGGTACCTTTATTATCACCATTTTACAGATAGGGAATTGAGACACAGGAAGGTTAAATAATTTGCATAAAAGTGACACAGCTGGTAAGGGGTGGCACCAGAATTTGTATGCAGAAATTCTGACTCTGCAATCTGTGTGTTTGTTTTTTTTAAGAGACAGGAAGGGGATGGGGAGAGAGAAAGGGAGGGAGGGAGGAAGAGAAAAAGAGAGGCAGACAGAGAGAAACATGGATCAGTTGCCTCCCACATGCATCCAGACTGAGGATCAAACCCGAAACCTGGGTATGTGCCTCAACCGGGAATTGAACTCCCCACCTTCTGGTGTATGGGACAACGCTCCCACCAACTGAGCCACACCAGCCAGGGCTAGAATCTGTGTTCTTAATCACTGAACCATAAGGTCTTTCCACCTATAAGAGCTCAGTTGGTAGAATGCAATAATCAGGAATTAATCTTAGTAGCGTGTTTGGCTACTCACAGAATGCTTTCAGCCCCATTATGTCTGGCAGTTCCTGCAGCGATGCTTTGAGTGGCCATACTGTTACCATCTCCACTCGGTAGGTGAGGAAACGTCACAGCTACGAGGTGCACTGCTCGCCTGGGACGGGGCCCTATACTAAGGATTTCTCACAGGGAGGGGAGGGGACAGGGGACCTCGGTATGCTTGCCTATGGGGTTTGCAGTTTGTTTCCTCACTGTCAAGCCTGCGAATTTTTTCATCCAGTTTTAAGAATGTAGTTCAGATATTACTGATGTTTCTGGATTCAGAACTGTGACCTGTGAGGGTCAGAAACTCAATTTATGAGTTTAGCCCCTTGCAGAGTACAGAATTCTGTGCTCATATCTTTCTGGGTCCGAGAAAGAAGTTCATCTGGGAGCTCCACGCCCTCAGCTCAGCTGTTCTGTGGCACCATGGGCTCTCAACGCTGGCTGTGCCTGGGGTGGTTTTAAAAACAGGCGAAGGCCAGGACCCCCCCCCGAGCCACTGGACTTTCAGTCTCTGGGGGTGCGGCCTGGGTCTCTGTATTTTCTAAAATCTTTAAAAGAAGTTCTTACACATTCCCAGCGCTGAGGACTGCTGGTATGAAGTAGGAATATTTTTACAATGAGTGTGGTCACAGCTTTCATCCATCCATCTCTTCGCCCAGTAAATACAGGGTGGGGCCAAAGTAGGTTTACAGTTGTTCATATGGAAAATAATACAGTAATAAATCGTAATACAAGAATAAACTCTGTGTTTCGCATACTCACAACTGTAAACCTACTTTGGCCCCACCCTGTATATAATTAATGGTCTGTGTGCCAAGCCCTGCGCTGGACACCAAGAACACAGTGCTAAGTGAGTCGTTACTACTGCTCTGTGCAAGGGGCGGACAGAACGCATAAGGGGCTCATTACCCCACAGTTGAGAAGACCAGTCATAGTGGGAGGCGGAGAGTGCTTGCGACCTCAGAGGGACCCCCACCAGGCTCGCAGGGAGACGTTGCAGGTGGAGAGCCGCCTGGGCAGAGGCACCCGGGCAGAGGCACCCGGGCAAGACAGTGTTTCAGCTGGTTAGGGTGGAGCCAGGATGGGGATCGGGCCCTTCGTCTCCCGGTGCAGTGCTCTTTCTCGACAGCTGAGAAAAAGAAAGGGCTTCTTAACGTAGGAGTTCTGCAGCCCATGGAGAGAGCTCAGGCGGGTCTGTAAACTTGGAGGAGAAAAACATTGCTTTTTTTTTTTTTTGCTTTTTTTTTTATTAACCTCTAACTGAAATTTGGTGTGCCCTTCAGTTATGACTCTGGGCAACAAAGCACCTGTGATATAGCCACCAAAAGAAATCATGTACTTTCTCATCACTTTACAGATACTTTAAAATGAAGGTAGTTTTTAGAACTACCACAAGATCTGGTCGTTTCATGTGTTCCTAAAGCACATTTATTACTGTATTTTAAATTTTCTATTATTTCGATCACTATATTTCAGTTTAATTGGTTTCCTTTACAACCTTGTATATTTTATTTTATGAACTATAGACATTGCTCTCAGAAGTGTCCATGTGTTTTACTAGCCTGGCAGAGGGATCCTGGACATTGATAAGTGAGAAGCCCCTCCCCTGTTCTGGGTGGACGGGAATAGAGTCAGAGCACCCCCCATGCTCTTCTGTTACCAGCGCCCCACCCAGCCAGCATCCGAGTTACAACAAAAGATGTCACTAAACCCAGTGCTCCTGACACCCCCTTTTTTTAGAGTCCCCAGTTGTGGAAGCCGACTTTTCAGAAGTGAGTTGACAGATGTCTTGAAGAGCTTTCCTTTTTTCCTGGGGTTGGGGGCAGGGGGGACTCGTCTGCATTTTGACAGCAGAAATGTGTGGATAAATGAGAGCAGTTAAACTGCTCGTCCCTCTGGTTTCTTTTAGCTTAAACAACTTTCCCAGCAGGAGCAGGCATTTATGTTTGCCTTTTAATCCTTCGAACTGAATTTTGGCAGCAGCATGTCAAGAACGGGGTCGAGGGGCTGTTTGTTTGTGCCAGCTGCGTTTGCCTGGGGAACGTGCAGCCACAGAGAATGGAAACTAGAAAGTTCGGCCTGACTTGCTGGGCTTGCATGGGGGAGGCGGCCAGCTGGCTCTGAGCAGACCTGCCCTCTGCACCTCCTGCCAAGGGAGCAAAAAAGAGGCTGGCTGGTGGGCTGGCCCACTTTCCCTGCTCCCCAGGGGCTCTGTGGGCTGCTTGACAACCACACATGGAGGCCCCTCGGGCACAGAGCTGATGGCAGTGGAGCCCCAGCTGCTAATGACCCAGGTCTGAAGGTTCCTGTGCAAAGCCCTCTGTTGAGTGATCAGTTTCTCCCAGGTAAAGACTGTCCATAATGGAAGTGAGAACAGTCTACAATCCTGACTGCTTTCTCCAGTCCATGGGTTTAGCTTCCAGAAATGAATGAACCTGAATGGAATCTTTGTTGCAATAGAGGGCCCAAGTCTACCAGATTCCTGGTTTCATGCTCCTCTTTGCTTTTTTTTCCTTTTTGTTAAATTAACATGGTTAATTCATGGTATGTGCTGAATTTCCTGAAAAGAGTTTATAAACTCATATTACTAAAATAAGCCAGTCTTCTACTGAGCACCTTTATATCCCCAGCAGTTTGCAGAAGCAACAATGGAGGGAGTTGTTACAGCTTATTGCATTTGACAAACATGTATTAAATATATACGCTGAAAAAAGTAACAATTTGAAAGCACAGGAAGTGAAAGCCAACCACATCTGTAGTAGTACCCCAATTTGAACGTACACACAGACAAAAAATGCTATTTAGGGCCAAGATGGAGTAACAGGGACCAGATTTACTCTCCTGCCCCCCCAAATTGAAAAAAAATAAAAAAGACACCGAACACCAGGAAGTGAAGGTCAGTAATTCTAGAGAGATGGGAAACAAATGACGAGAGCAACAAATTGAGCTTATTGTCTTGAGTTTTTAAGCCATGATGCAGGGAGAGGAAACCCAAGGAGGGCCCTGAGGACTTCCTGAGTTGAGTTGATAGAGCTGAGAGTCCCGGGAAACCAAAGAGGCAAAGAGTTCACAGAACAGCGTGCTGAAGAGAAGAGTTGCATGGAGATTGAGCTACAAAAGATTCCCTGGAGTATTCAGCAGACTACTGATGAGCTCCTTCCTTATAAGGAAGCTTCCT